TGTCTAGTCCTGGTGGTTCTGAAAGCAGTCTGTGATCCCCTGCAGTACCTGCCTCAAGTCGAGTGAAAACCATCAGTGTCACAACTATAACTCTGTCCATTATAAAAAAAATTTTAATTGTTTGTGCATAATTAAGTGTGTGCTGGAAGTTGACAAGATTTCAGCCACCATCTCCAAATTCTTTGTTTCAGAATCTTGATTAAAAAGTTTTAATTGTGTAAACCTGATCATTATTTGACTAAAAAAATGATACAGAAACTTGACCTTTACAGTAATGATCATGCTGGTGTTGTAATGTAACTGCATGTTAGACATGTTTTTCAAAGTTTTATAACTTATAAAGGCCTAAAAATAATGTACAAAACAAAACACAGCCAAGATGCAAAATTCCTTCTTTCTTTTGTTACTTGCAAGTTCTTAGAATGCTCACCTCATCTTGAGTGGTTAATCACTAGATGTGTGGTATGTTTCAACAAATATGTAATATTTGGGCTGGGAAGGTGGCTCAGTGGTAGAGTGCTTGCCTTGCATACATGAGTCCTGGGTTTGATTCCTCAGCACCACATAAGCAGAAAAAGCTGGAAGTGGTGCTGTGTCTCAAGTGGTAGAGGGCTAGCCTTGAGTTCAGGCCCCACGACTGACCTCCCCCACCCAAATGTAATACTTTCTAATAAATAACGATTTCCAGTCATTAAGAACAAATGAAATATTAAAAGAACTCATATTAGCAGCACAGACATTTAAGTACCAGAAGAATTAATCTGTTCTTATGTCTTGAATAAAAAACACTTTCATTGCAATTTATGGAACTAATGGAAATAAGTAAATCGGAAGTCTTGTGCTTGCTCAAGTTATTTCAGTTATTTTTATGTAGTAAAATTATCTTTTTTTGTTTTTTTGGTCCGGTGGTGGAGCCTGAACTCTGGGCCTGGGTGCTGTCCCTCAGCTCTTCAGCTCAAGGCTAGCGCTCTACCACTGAGCCAACTTCCCAGCACCATCATTTATTTTTTTTTTAAGTTCAAGGACAGTGCCCAGGCTGTGAGTTCAAACACCAGCACCAATATGAAAGAAAGGCCTTGAGTTCAAGCCCCAGCACCAAGAAAGATGGAAGGAAGGAAGGAAGGAGGAGAGGGAGGGAGGGAGGGAGGGAGGGAGGGAGGGAAGGTCGGCCAGGAGTTGCCGCACACCTGTAATCCCAGCAATTGGGAGACAGAGACAGGAAGAGTTATGTGTTTGAGACCAGCCTGGCTACGTAGCCAGACTCTGACCCAAAAAGCAACATGAAACCATGGCGGTCAAACGAGACACTACGTGGTGCAGGGCCCACTGCAGGGCAGAGGCCGGGCGCGGGAGGGCCGTCCCTCTCGGCGGGCTCTCCGCGGCCGGAGGCCTCGGCGCGGGGTGGGCCTCCCCGTTGTGTGGCC